TGGACAATGACTAGGGAGGATAGAAGGAGAATTGATGCCTTTGAGCCGTGGTGCTGGCGAAGAGTATTGAATGTACCATGGACTGCCAAGAAAACAAACAGATTCATCCTGGAGAGGGTTAGACCAGGCTACTCTTTGGAGGCAAGGATTCTGGGGCTTCGTTTGACATACTTTGGACATGTTGTAAGGAGGGACAGGTCCTTGGAGAGGGACATCGTGCTTGGGAGGGTGGAGGGACAGCGCAGGAGGGGAAGACCCTCTATGGGATGGATTGATTCAGTGACTGGGGTAATCGGGATGGGTGTGCCAGAGGCAGTGTGATTGGCACAGGATAGAGCAGGGTTTAGGGCTTTTGTACATAGGGTCACCGTGAGTTTCAAGCGACTCGACGGCACGCAACAACAACAACAGCATCATTAATATTACATACAAGCAGGATTCTGCTGACGTTTATCCAAAAATGACTGGAACAGCACATCAGCAGAGAACTGCCTGCAGTCCAGCCTGGGTTTAGAAGAGGTTGTGGTACTAGGGATATTATAGCTAATGCTAGATGGATCTTGGCTGAAGGCAGGCAGTACCAGAGGAATGTCTCTCTGTGTTTCATTGACAAAGGCATTTGACTGTTTGAACCACAACACAATGGATAGAAAAGCCAATTTTCAAAGTTTTGGCCATCACGGTCACTATGAGTTCAGTTGACTTGACCACATGTAACAACAACAATCATCCTGGTTTTATAAAACAAAATAATATTTCTTCTCTTTTCTCAAAGAGAGTATGTAGAACTAATTGAATTAATTTTTTATTTGTTTGTTTGATAGAATTCCTGAATGGATCTGTCTGCTTCTGAAAATCTTGTTTTTCAGAATGTTTTGAATTATTAATTTTATTTTTCTAATAGTTTTAGAACTATTTAGGTTATCTATTATTTTGTCTTGCATGAGTGTTGGTAATATGTAGTTCTAATGTTTTAGTCCATTTTGTCTATGCTGTACAATATCTGTGTGTAATTTTGTTTTTTAGTATTCTCTTGGTATTATTGTTAAGTGCCATTGAGTTGATCACAACTCATAGTGACCCTATGAACAAAAGACCTTAACCTCATTTTGTAACTATTGTTTCTCCAAGTTCATAGAGTTTCCAGACTATGAGTCATAGTCTGGAAATATAGAACTTGGAGATATAGAATCTTCAAGTATATGATTTTCCATGCCACTCCTGCTTCCAGAACTGTCCAAATCTGTGAGCTCCACCAAACATGTGGTGCCATTATGGCATTTGAGACACCAGTGGCACAGTGTTGAGTATTACAGCAATCCCAAGTTTCCTCAGTACAGCAAATTAACTGAACAGTGCTGTACCACTGAGGAGAATGTTCATTACAAACACAAATTAATACCAATGGCCCTCGGGCCCAAACAGATTTTTAAAAACCCAGGCCAGTGCACTAGGCCATGATTGATCCCTACAAGAGGCCCACTGACCCACAGCTGAAAAACCATCCAATCCAGTCAGCTCACACATGATTGTGAACAAAATAAAACCTAACAAACTGTCAAGGGTAATTCTTTCATTGTTGTTGTTATGTGCCATTAAGTCGCTTGTGTCTCATAACGAGCCTGTGTACAAGAGCCCTAAACCCTGCTCTACTCTGTGCCAAACTCATTATCTCTGACACACCTTCTCCCACTACCCTAATCACTGAATTAATCCATCTCATCGAGGGTCTTCCCCCCACGCCGTCCCTCCACTCTCCCAAACATGGTGTCCCTCTCCAAGGACTGGTCCCTCCTTGCAACATGCCCAAAGTATGTTAGATGAAGCTTCAGAATCCTTCACTACAAGGAGCAGCCCAGCTTCTCCCTCTCCAGGACAAACCTGTTTGTTCTTCTAGCAGTCCATGGTATAGTCAACACTTTTCTCTAGCACTACAGCACAAAGGCATCAATTATCTTTCTATCATCTGTAGTCACTGTCCAGCCCTCTGATGCATAGCACACAATTGCGAAGACTATAGCCTGGAACAGGCACATTTTAGTCTCCAGCTTGACGTTGTTGCTCCTCAATACTCTGGAGAGGTAGGTCCCTTTAAAAAATATTTCCCAGATTTTTACTTATAATCTTTTTAATTTTGATAATAGTAATTGGTCTTTGTCACTTTTTGGTCATTTTTTTCAAGAGGTTTATAAATTCAATTGACTTTTTCAAAAGATTTTCTTCTGAGTGATTTTTCTCTTCTGTTTTTGTCTTTATCATTTTGTTCTACTTACTTAGATCTTATTTTCTTTTTTAATTTCTTTTTTAAATTTTTTATTAATTTCAATGAAAATTTACTGTAACTTTGGTTTCCATTCATTCATTGTTGCTCTTCT